CTCTCTCACACACACACACACACACACACACACACACACACACACACACACATACACATACACCTTTAAAAATGTAAAAATAATTTAAAGTATGAAAATGAGAAGAGGATGTTGGTGGAGGGTGAAGAGATTTTCACCTAAGTAGATTTTTTTTTTCTTCCCTTAAGAGTAGATAGAATAGCTGCTGGGCGCTTGCCTACCGTGGGCAAACCTCCCCCCGCGTTCATCCCCAGCACCACAAGACAAAATTAAAGTTTCAACAACAAAACCTCTGGCTTGAACTTGGAAGAGGGTGGTAGAGCTATTACAAATCAGGCGCAGGGAAGCACGGGAAATTAGGGGTTTGGCAAGCAGGTTGGAAACTGTCCCTCTTCCGGACCTCTGCCAACAGCTTCAGTCTGGAGCTTTTTTTGCACAAAGCGCCCGGGTGGGGGTGGGGGATAAACTCCAGCGCCCAAGAAGCTCTCCCTATGTGCTGGGCACCAAGCAGTCCGGATGAAGCTGGGCTTAGGACTTTCTATTTCACGCACTCCAATATTTGGTACTCTTGCTCCGGATACAGGTAGAATCGGGGCTCCAGGACACCACAATGACTTTGTCTCGGTCTCCAATGTCTTCAGTGTCTAACGGAGCTACCGAGTCCGCGGGTGTGTGTGTGTGCGCGGGGGGTGAGGAAGTGATGGCTACAGAATCATGATGGATTGTTAGAAACCTTCCCCGGAGGCGACCGCTGCTAGGATTCTCTCTGCCGGCCTTGGCTGGAGAAGGCTGGGACAGCGTTACAGCTCCATCTCCTATTGGTGGCGGCTCCAAACCTCCTCCGCCCACTTCAGCCCACACCAGGAGCCCATGGGTTCCAGACGCTATCCAGGAGAGGTCTTCCTGAGCCATCTCTGCGCTCAGACATTGATCCCCAGCCCTCGGCAGCCGGTTACCCTGAAGACTACAAAGGGACCGGGAGAAATTGATGTGCTGGGCAAAGCTGGACTAAAGGGTTCCACTCATTTTTTTTTTTTTTTTTTCTCAGCTGGAGAAGAGGGTCCACGAAAGCCACCGAAAGAAGCGCCAAAGGGAGGCTGCAGTTTGGAAAAAGGACCAGGGTGGAAAAAGGACCACAAAGTGTCCCTCCAATTTCGCCACCTACCCACAGTCCATGCAACCACGCGCGCATCTCCTGCCCAGGAGCCCAAGTCCCTGAACAATGGAAGTCTCTAACCTCTCAGGCGCCACCCCTGGCATCGCCTTTCTCCCGGGGCCGGAGAGCTACAGTGACAGCCCAATTTCCGGCAGGGGCGTGGGGTCCACCCCAGGTGGGCTCATCTTGCCAGGCCCGCCCTTCTCTGTCTTCACCGTGCTCGTGGTGACTCTCTTGGTGTTGCTGATCGCTGCCACTTTCCTATGGAATCTGCTAGTTCTGGTGACCATCCTGCGCGTCCGCACCTTCCACCGCGTGCCACATAACTTGGTGGCCTCGACAGCCGTCTCGGACGTGCTTGTGGCGGCCCTGGTGATGCCACTGAGCCTGGTGAGCGAGTTGTCGGCTGGGCGACGTTGGCAGCTGGGCAGGAGTCTGTGCCACGTGTGGATCTCCTTCGACGTGTTGTGCTGCACGGCCAGCATCTGGAACGTGGCGGCCATCGCCCTGGACCGCTACTGGACCATCACGCGTCACCTACAGTACACGCTGCGCACCCGGCGCCGCGCTTCGGCGCTCATGATCGGGGTCACCTGGGCACTGTCCGCGCTCATCGCGCTCGCCCCGTTGCTCTTTGGCTGGGGCGAAGCCTATGATGCTCGGCTGCAGCGTTGCCAGGTGAGCCAGGAGCCCTCCTATGCCGTCTTCTCCACCTGCGGAGCCTTCTACCTGCCTCTGGCAGTGGTGCTCTTCGTCTACTGGAAGATATACAAAGCCGCCAAATTTCGCTTCGGCCGCAGACGGAGGGCTGTGGTGCCCTTGCCTGCCACCCTGCAAGTGAGAGGGGCTGGTTGTGGATTTGGGGGTGGGGGACCCTGGGAAGGATGAAATTTAGAGAAAGGGAAGAGTGGGACAGAGCTGGGATACTGGAGCATAAGAGGAAAAACTGTCGCGTGTGGAACGCGGGAGGAGATGGCCATCTGCTCTTTAGGAGAGCACATGGAGTGGCTTATCGCTGGTGCTTCTAGTGAACCACCTGCGGGATAGGCACCTGTGGAAATGGGTTCTTCGCGTGCGCATTAGGACTAGTGCTGGAGCCTCCAAACCTCAAAAGTTGTGTGTGTGTGTGTGTGTGTGTCTGTCTGTGTGTCTATCTATGTGTGTGTGTCTCTCTCTCTCTGTATCTGTCTGTCTGTCTCTCTGTGTCTGTCTGTCTATCTATATGTGTGTCTCTCTGTAACTGTCTGTCTCTCTGTGTGTGTGTCTGTCTGTCTGTCTCTGCGTCTATGTGTGTGTGTGTCTGTGTGTGTGTATGTGTGTCTGTCTATCTATATGTGTGTGTGTCTCTCTCTCTGTATCTGTCTCTCTGTGTGTGTCTGTATGTCTGTCTGTCTCTGCGTGTATGTGTGTGTGTCTCTGTGTGTGTGTGTGTCTGTCGGTCTCTGTGTGTGTCTGTCTCTGAGGTGTGTGTTTGTGTGCGTGTGTCTGTCTGTCTGTCTCTGAGGTGTGTGTGTGTGTGTGTGTGTGTATGTGTGTAGACAGAGTCTCATGAAGCCCAGACTAGACTCCAACTTTCTTTGTAGCCAAGGATAATCTTGGATTTCTAATCCTCCGGTCCCCATCACCAAAGTGGAGAATTACAAGCACGCACCACCCATCTCCGGGTATGCAATGGGGGTGGGATGGGGGTGGAACTCAGGGTTTCCTGAATGGGAGGCAACTCAATGTACCATCTCAGCTACATTCGCAGCCTGCCTTTCTTGATGGTATCAAGTCACATCTAATTAGCTGGGCTCAGGCAGGCAGCCTGGCTTATCTAAGTAAAGGCACTTTCTTCCAGGCCTGACAGTCTGGGTTCCATCCCCGTGATTTGTACTCTGACTTCCACGTGGACTGCACATGCACACGAATGAATAACTGTTACACACACACACACACACACACTCTCGCACACACGCACGCACACACGCACGCACGCACGCACGCACGCACGCACGCACGCACGCACGCACATATGTGTAGATTCACTTAGCACTCTTCATTCCGTAGATCCTGGAATTATTCTGCCCATGTCAGGTTTGGAGCTGCCAACTTGTTGATCCCTGCTAGACCGACTGTCCTGGACTGCGGTGGGATGTCATGTACCTTAATATATGTAAATAAATTCCTGCCGGGCGGTGGTGGCGCACGCCTTTAATCCCAGCACTCGGGAGGCAGAGGCAGGCGGATCGCTGTGAGTTCGAGGCCAGCCTGGGCTACCAAGTGAGCTCCAGGAAAGGCGCAAAACTACACAGAGAAACCCTGTCTCGAAAAACAAAAAAGAAAACCCAAAAAAAAAAAAAAAAAAAAAAAGATTCCTATAGCTTCCACTCTTTTCGCCACTGACTCCAGACCCTTCACAGTCCAGTGACCATATCCTGAAACTCTAGGGGCCACTATCCTGACAGTGTGTGTGTGTGTGTGTTTAAAACAAAAAAATCCATTGTCCTCTCCTTTGTTTATCCCAACCCCAGTGATGTCCTCTGGAGATTTGGGAGAGAGAAACTGTGTTGCAGTCCCAGTTCCAGACATCCATTGCTTAATACCCTTGTGCCTCATTTTTCTCATCTTTAAACAAGTTAGTTATTACTTTTCATTTAGTTTAATTTTTTTGAAGGTAGGAGCTCAGGTATTGTAAGTTGACCTGGAACTTCCTGAATAGCTGAGGATGACCTTGAACTTCTGATCTTTCTCCTCTCACTTCCCAAGAGCTGGAATTAGAGGCAAGCACCACTATGCCTGGTTTATATAGTTCTGGGAATGAAGCCCACAGCTCTGTGCATGTTGGGCAAGCGTTCTACCTACAGAGCCACATCCCAGCCTTAGGTCCTACTGTATAAGGCCCCCGGTGAGGGTCTCACGAACTGAAGAATGAAAAAATGTCTGCATAGTCCTGGCTCATGGTGGGTGGCAGAACTGGCCGAGGAAATGAAGTATTAACAGCCCAGCAGTTTAGCTGAATCAGTGGAGCTGTGGGCTCAAAGAAGAGACTTTGTCTCAAAAACAGTATAATGGGCAACAGTTGAGGAAAACACCTCATGTCAGAGAACTCTGGACTCCACAAACACAGATATACCCGTGTGCACATACACACAAACACAATGTGTGGACCAAGAAAGGAGTCAAAAAATTAAAGAGAGCACGACATAGGAAAGGCTGCTGTAGTTTGCTTGACTTTTACAGACTTGGCCCAGATACCAGGCTACCAGACAAGGGCATGCGCTTTTAAAAGTAGATTCTTCTTCGTTTTAATTAAATGACGGAGGAATTTTTTTTTTTTTTAACACAAAACAGGAATGTCAAGTCTATAATTGGAAAATGTTGGAAGGGAGAGCTTTATTCAAAATTAATGATGCTCTTTGAAAGGTCCCTCGGAAATGCCTGGGGTGATTATAGCATCTCTGTTTGGCTGCAGGGGCAGGGCTGACTTTTAATAGCTGCATCAATCCAGTTATGCACCTAGGAAAATCACAGTGGAATGGACGCCTGAAAGGCTTGCCACGCTTGATTGGACTTTTCATTTCATAGAATAAACATTTATTTATTTATTTATTTGTTTATATATGTATTTATTATTGCTTTGCTTTGGTTTGGTTGTGTTGCTGGCGATCAAGATGGCACTGAGGACCCCGGGCACGCCAGGCAAGCACATTACCCACTTGGCACCATCCGAAGCCCTTGCTGTTGACTTCCGACACATTCCATCTAGGAAGGTGATAGGAAGAGGTGAAAGGGCAGCTGGCTGACCCATCAGAAGCAGCCTGTGATGGGGAGAAAGAACCCCAGGAGGCAGGGGTAGGTAGAATTGGGCTGAGTAACTCTTTAGTGGTAGGGCCTGTGGGAAATCCTCCTCCGCGCTGACATTGCACAGTATTATCTCTGTCATGGTTGGAATGTGAAGTGTCCCCCACAGGCTCAGGTGTTTGAGTACCTGGCTCCCAGCGGGGGATGCTTCTTGGGGAGGCTGTGAAATCTTTAAGAGGCAGAGCCTCCCTAGAAGAAATGGGTCACCTGGAAGGAGCCTTGGTATCCCAGTCCTACTGCCCTCTCATGCTCTGCATCCTGACTGAGAACGCAATGTGAGCAGATGCCTCCTGCTCTTGCTACCATGGCTTCCCCACCATGACAGACTGTGTCTGAGAACCGTAAGCAAAAATAAAACCTTTCTCCCTTAAGTTGCTTCTTGTGAGAAATCTGGTCAGAAAAATATTTAATACCACAAGATAGTTTATTCTTTCTTTCCTTCCTTCCTTCCTTCCTTCCTTCCTTCCTTCCTTCCTTCCTTCCTTCCTTCCTTCCTTCCTTCCTTTCTCCCTCCCTCCCTCTCTCTCTCTGTCTTTCTTTCTCATTCATTTTGAGACAGGTTCTCTCTATGTAGCCCTGGCTGTCCTGGAACTCTCTATGTAGACCAGGCTGACCTTGAACTCACAACGATCTGCCTGCCTCCAAAAGCTGATAGTTAATTTTAACTGTCAACTTTGAGATAACATGACAAGAGTCTTTTTTTTTTTTTTATTATGTATACAGTGTTCTGCCTGCATGTGTCCTTGCAGACCAGAAGAGGGCACCAGATCTCATTGCAGGTGGTTATGAGCCACCATGTGGTTACTGGGATTTGAACTCAGGACCTCTGGAAGAGCAGTCAGTGCTCTTAACCACTGAGCCATCTCTCCAGTCCCAACAAGAGAATCTTAATTGAGAAACAGTCTATATCAGCTTGGCTAGTGGGCATGTCTGCGGGCATTATCTTGATCAAGTTAATTGATGTGGGAAGACCCAGCCCACTTTCGCTGGCCCTGTTCCCTCTGCAGGGGGTCCTGAACTGTGTAAGAGAGGAAAGAGAGCAAGCAGGCCCGCATGCCCTTATCTCTCTGCTCAGGACTGTGGAGATGATGTGACTGGTGACTTCAGGCTCCCGTCATTGGTCATTGTCACTTCTGTACTGTGATGGACAGGAATCCGGAATCAGAAGACGAACACATGGCTTTCTCTCTGAGGTTTTGTTTTGTTTTTTTCTCTCTCAGTGTATTTTATCACAACAATGGAAATAAAGCCAGGATCCACAGTATCCTAGTACCTTCCTGACCAAACTAGCAATACCCCCGCCCCCAGTCCATATGAAATTAAAGCTGAAAACATAAATGTTACCTAACCTCAATTAACGTACTTGCTTACATCTCCCTTTCTAAGCGCTAATCCCAGTGCATCCTTAGCCCGTGCAGAGCAATCAAACTCAGCAGCAAAACAAGATCCACCTAAACGTAAGAATGAGGACAAGATCTGGGCGGTGGTGGCACACACCTTTAATCCCAGCACTTGGGAGGCAGAGGCAGGCGGATCTCTGTGAGTTCGAGGCCAGCCTGGGCTACCAAGTGAGTTCCAGGAAAGGCACAAAGCTACATAGAGAAACCCTGTCTGGAAAAACCAAAAAAAAAAAAAAAAATGAGGACAAGTGTACCTTACCCAAGACTTTGGTTGACCTGTATATTTTTTGTGTGTGTGTATTTCACCGCACTGACAGGATGGCTTATTTGTGTCAAGCCAACTGTGCTCGGCTTTTATTTTTACAAGAGAATGTCCTTATTTGCACAGTTGCTTCTACACATGAGAGGCCGTTGAGAAAATTTCCTTTTTTTGAGTTGTCAGACATGATAATCACCCTCTGTTTATGGCGGGTGATGTTTGGGGATGTAGTTTTTCAAACTTGGCGTTTGTCTGTGGCAGACAGACGAAGCCCCGGTGTTCCAATCTTGGCCAGGCATCTTTGGTTAGAAATAGCTATTTCAGAGGTTAGGGAG